AGTCAAAGAGACCAGTGGAAAGAGCAAATAAGAAAAATCAACTTAACACTATATATGCAAACCAAAAAAATTTAAATAAAAGTCATGATTCGGAGACGCCTACAACTTAGGAAATCAGCAAATTTATAAGCTTATCAAATGGATTCAAGGTACAGTAAAACCTCACTAAATTGATACTCGATTAATTAGTAACCTAAGAAAAATAATATTTTTTTCTGGTCCTGACTTGGGCTAGTTGAAAAAATCACTCATTTCGATAAAAAAATAAGATAATATATTTTCTGAAGACCCTTGTATAAATATATGGTTCCATTAATATTATAAATTAATAATTTGTTAAACGTATAACTATATCTAAGACAATTTAACGAAACATGATTATATTGTGTTCTATTATTTTTTTGTTAAAATCTAAATCTTGTTGAAGCTCATCTCTAACTTTTCTTATTACATCGAATAGTTTCGTTATTGTCGTTCTGAACTGCACCACAAAATTGCAAAGAGCTCTAAATGTAATAAGTGCTTCCTGACCCGTAACTGGTCCAAAGTATTGTATCATCTTCTACATTATCATCAACATTATTCTTTTTCAATGGTATCCACAATTTCTTTTAAGCTCTAGACCTATGAACATGTATCATTTTCACCCATCCAACAAGTTATTAACATCCATTTTATTGCGGTAACCGAAATCATTAATCATGATCTCAAGTTTATGTGTGACGTTTTCACAAGTGGATTCATTTAAATTCTCTGAGATTTCATCCCAAACGAATTTTGCGGTGTCGAAACACTCTTTAAACTAATAAATATTAATTTATTGATTAAATAATATCTCTATAAAATAATAATATTTCATGGTCCCACCGATATTAATTTAGTGAGGTTTCACTGTAATTAATGGTGATGAACTTTTCAAATTATGTCATTTTGTCTTTTTAATTTACAAAACAGTAGTAAAGTTATAACCGTAAGAATCCTTTTAGATACCTCTCAGAAAGGAGAAAATAACGTAACTATTGATATGCACTAACTTTTAATTTATTAGATGTTGGGATTTATGCAGTTTTGATGATTGACAAAGAAAGATGAAACACGTCAGTCAACATGGTTCAAAGGTACACTGTACGAGCAGTTGAATTTGAAAAAGCTTTTAAGACGAATAAAGACAAGAGTGTAGAAATAAAGAAATGGATAATACTAATTTCGTGAGAAAACCCAAGGAAATAAACATCTGATGAATTGAAGAGAAAAAATCAATGAGTTTGATTTGAAGAAGGAGTCTAAAGAGGCAAAAAGTTTTAATTGAAGAAGGAGTCTCACTTAAAGTAGAACTCTTCAAGTTACTGCTGAATTGAAGTGTTGGAGTTCGACTACAATACAAAAGATCAATGAATGTAATTTGAAGAAGAAGTCTAAAGAAGCAAGGAGTTTGAATTGAAGAAGGAGTCTTACTTGAAGTAGAAATCTAAGTTAAGAGAGTTCAAGTCATTGAGGAGTTTGAAGTGAACAATGACTCTATGAAGAATTGTGCTAAAATAGAAGTGAAGTCGTCCAGAATACTTGTGCACTTACAGAGCAAAAAGAGCAATTGAGGAATTGACTTCGCAAGTGCTACCAGCGAACTGAAGGAACACATAGAAGGAACACATCGAAGAATCTGATCCTTTTACAGAGTTTATGTGTTAGGAGTTTTTCTTTGTGAATGAATTTTGATGTAATATTAGTTCAATGAGTTATAAACTGAACTAGGAGTGTTGTCTTCAGGTTGTGATAACTCGAAGAGTTGGGAACACATACCTTGGGAGGTTTGTGTTGAAGTTGAGGAATTAGAGTTAGTTCCTAGGATTACAAGAGTTGTAATCTAAATCCATAACTTGAAGTTAAGGAATTAGACTTAGTTTTGTAGGTTACAAAGTTTGTAATCTATTTTCTGTGGAGGCTCAGTGATTTAGTGAAGTTGGTGTTAAATCCTCTAGGAGTACAAGTCGTGATTTTTTACACCTTTTGAGCCGAGTGTTTTCCACGTAAAAATATTGTGTTTTTACTTATTATCCTTACTCCTTTGTTGGAACACGTTAGGTAACCTGTTTCACATTTAGGCGAAAAGTTAAAATACATAAAATTACTAGGTCGTGCAGACTAACATTAGAGAATAAAAAGATCATCAATACCTTATAGATGTTATTCCAATTGGAGAGAAAAGAATCAAAATTGTCCGTTATCTTTAAGTAAAGAGTCAAAGTAATCCTTGTCTTTTAACATGGAATACTAATAGTCCCCGTGTTTCAAGAATTGGTACACTTTTGATATTCTTCCATGTATTTGTTTATATTTTACCGACACTTCTCTTTGCACGTGAGAAAGGCCTTGTCTATTTCCACCATTGTTAACCATATCTTTCCTATATAACTCTGTTTCCACCATTGCTAAACAAAATTTTCCCTTCTTTTTCTCTAGTCATTTATAATTTCACAACTCTAATTACCCTATGAGACAAACAAAATAAAACTAAAAAGACTAATATTTGGAGAAGTAAAACTCATTCATCGTTGTTTTTGAAGAGTATTATCTTTTTTTTTTTTGTGTATCTACCATGGAAGTCTGCGGCAAAAGCAAACTTTTCTATTATTATGGATAGAAAGAAGTTTTTCTATTTTTATGAATACAAAGCAATGTTGATCGAGCCTTCTTTGATATCTGTTTAATTTCAAGGAGAAAAGGGCTATAAGATTTTGAGATTATTGTTTAATTTCAAGGAGAAAAGGGCTATAAGATTTTGAGATTATGATGATCATTGGGTGTGTTTCGCTGTTGATAACACATTAATTAGAACTCCTAATTGACTTTTGAATTTTATTAGGAGGGTACTACATATTTTGGTATCTTATAAATCTGCAGAAAAGTTTCTTGCACACAAGGTGCTTAATCAATTGTCAGTGATCATTTCACCTCATTGTCCATTCTGATATTTGATTCTCTGTCATTGTTGCGCCTTAACGACATAGTTGCTTCCGAAAATTGGTCAAGATTTTAATAAAATTCAGAACAAAAGTTTGATTACAGGGTTTGATTTTAGGAAAAAGGGAAAGAGATAAATCAGAAGTCTGATTTGATAAGGTATAAGAAGAAGCATGGAAAAACGAGTTTTGGAGGGGAAATTTCTCACGTGCAAAGAGAAGTATCGTTAAAATATAGACATATGTTTGGAAGACTATCAAAAGTGTACCAATTCTTAAAACATGAAGGACTATTAGTGCTCATAAGAATTATTTTGACTCTTAACTCAAAGGTGTAATGGCTAAGGAGCATCAGTACTACATGAAATTTGTATAACTTCTCTAAAATAGTGAAAGTGGTATTTCTCAATCATCCGTTCAATGTATGTATACATTTGTTTATTATTTTATGAGATATAAATTTAATTTTTGAAGAGAGCTATAAAGAGTATTTGTAGTTTTATCCATAAATATTATAATATTAATGTTTTTTTTAATATTTAATAACAACGTTATAGGGGTATTTTGGTATTTCAATTTTCAACTTTATTTTTTGTTCTATATACGATGACTAGTTTCTGAACACGTGCATTGCATGTGTGTCCCATGCAATATTTTATAAATTCGTTAGGATGATTAAAATTCAATGAAAACATGCGTGTAATGAGGGATGGAAATGGGAAGGGGCAGGGCAGGGCGGGTGCGGGGCAAATCCGCAAAAACTTTTCCCCGCCCCACTCCACCCCGCATAGCACAATTTATTATTTTTGCCTCGCCCTGCTCCAGCCCGCTTGAACCCGCCCCACACTCAAATATTCTTTTGCATCTAACGTTTTATGTGGCGACAACCATTTTTATTTTTCATTCATATAAAAAAAAAGTGAATTGTGTCAATTTTATTAGAATAACAATATAATTTCATTAACGGGTATGTAAAATCTTTCTCTAGCTACTACCAAGTGTAACAATCGAACAATTTTTTATAATCAGAACTACAACTGGGATCAAATAATGAGAAAAACTACATACCAGAGACAATGAAGAATTTGAAGGATTGCCTAAAACTTAATAGGGTATGTAAAATTGGAGTTAAAAGATAGAAGAAATTTATCAAGAATTTTGTATCCGCCCTGCTCCGCTCCTCCGCCCCGCAAAATCTCTAACCTGCACTGCCCCGCAAATACTGTAAGCCGCCTCGCTCCATTGTCATCCCTAGTAAAATATGATATGATGTTTGGGTATTTATGTTGAAAATTCAAATTTGTTTCATTGGTGCTTTCATCCAATAGAGAACCAATATTGCAGAAAATCACAAGTTATCTCTCCCTCATCCTATCTTGACGGGAAAGCTTTGCAATGATACCAATGGCTTTTCCAAAACAAACAATTGGCAGATTGAGAACATTTTACTGTGAAAGTATAGATTCGCTTTTGTAAACAACATCTCAAATTGCCAGAAGTTGGCTCGGCAAATCTCCAACAGTGGCGCAATATAGCCAAATTCACCTTTGCACGATGACAGTCCCATAATACGATTACTATGGGATCAAGAAAGAAAATGCCGATGAACATGTCCTCCTGTAAAACTTTTTTCTGGTTTTCTTTCGAGAAGCAGCTTGAGGGACACAAGCAACTCAAGAAACAGAGTCACAAAGGTTTCGAGAAGATGGAGACTGACCGGATTCAACACAAAACAAACTTGATAGTGACACAGAAAAGATGAATGTGGCCACCAAGCGTCTATAAGTTGCTCATCATAAAAACAACTTCTTTCTAACTGTTCACCACAGAAACATAGCTATGCACCAATACAAAATGAAACACAAAACATCAATGAAATGAAGAAATTTGAATCAAGCATGAGGAATGTTAAGCCATTAATCCTTGGTCAATGCCCCTTAATGCTGCAAAATAATTTCTTTTGAGACATAATTGAGTTTTAGAAATCTACAAAACTCTTCACATTTTGGTCTAGGATTAACAAAAGAAAAGTTTGATGCTTCAATCTGTAGACGGTAAATACAGAGGCATTCCTGCTGGATCAAGCTCCCAGAAACCTCGCAAACTGCCACGTCTCTCTTCTGTCAGGCGAAAAGCAGGAATTCGATGAGAAAACCTGAGATGCTCGGATACACATATTTTCAACACTCCGTCAGTCTCTTCTTGTTCTTCCACTCGAGGCTTGTAGACAGACTTGAAGCCTTTTACCCACACCAAGAACTTCACGTCTACAGAATTATCAGAAACATTCACTATTTCAACAATCTCATATTCAAAATCTTCTAGATTATTACCATTCAGCTGAGGACTCCAGTTTTTGTATACTGCCCAAACTTCACCTTTTCCAGGGAAGATCTTGTATAGTCCCCTCTTCACAAGTTCTGCTGCTACTACATGTGAAAAGTTGTTGGTTACAGTATATTTGTTTAGCTTAGTGTTTCGAAACTTAAACAGTCCACAACCAATTGGCATTGTTTTATCATGCCACTGTATTGTACTTTTAGGGAGTGGACACGCATAAAACCATGCCACATGCAACACAAACTCAGGGAGAAGATCTATCTTCCTTATCTGCCCATAGTACCGGGGCAATTTATCTTCATCGCTGTATATCGCCCAACATTGACCAATTTGAAATTTCTCCGGTGATCTCTCAGCAGCAAATCTGTAAAATTCGGGTTCAGGAACCTGATTAGGTACTGATGCAACCAAGTTTTCAGCAGAATTTACAGAATCAATGAAATTAGCTGTCGCTCTTTGGTCTATGGATTCACCAGAAACGCCTACTTTTTCAGGAGGTAAGGAGGCAGGGTCTAGTTCAAAGGATCCTTCAAGAACATCATCCCTCTCCATACCTGTCATCTTAAAAGAAGGAACTCTATGAGAGAATCTAAGCATCTCCTTTGCAGGAACTAGAAATGGGTCTCCTGCTCGATGGAAAAGACAAGTGAAGCCTTTTGCTTTAACCAAGTATGCAACATGCACACCAATAGCATCAGCATAGTCTGACAAGACCTCAACAAACTCATAGTTGAACTTTTTCTTGCTCTCAAGACGAGAACACCAGTTCATATCCCAATCTTTAAAGATGGCCCAAGTTTCTCCTTCCTGTGGAAATATCTTTATGGCACCATAGCTATTTCTATTTATTGCACATACCAAATGTGAGAAGATAGGATGATCTTCAACGTCTTCTAAGTTTCCCAGTCTGAACCTACCACAAGAAGCTGGAAGGCCCTCAGATAGCCATTTGGTTTCATCTTCATTCAATGGATCCGGCTCTAACCAAGTTATGCGCAACTTAAATGCAGGAGATAAAATCTTCCTGATGATTGCATAGAATCTAGGCATGGCATCCAGAGTATCATAAACAGCCCATACTTGGCCAACCTTAAAGCAAGATTCTTCCTTGTCCTTGTCAAAATCACTAAAATCTGGATCTGCACATTCAAATGTTTTTGGCTCAGTCATAGTAGAAGGCCCTACATCTGAGGGAAGATCAACACTTCTTTTTAAAGGTACATCCACTCTTTCATTTGCAGTCTCCGCTTCCAGCTCTGTGTTCTGCAAGCTCTCTTCAGAGGACAAACTGTCCTTCAATTTCTTCTCCTTCCCCTTGGGAGTTGCTGCATGAGACAAATGCTGAACCTCGGATTCCTTAGTAGGAGAGGGATATCCAACCCCCTTAAATCGCTTAGAAGGACCTACTTCTTCAAAGTCATCACTTAGATTATCACTTCCTTTTGCAGTTTCAATCTCCATCGCTTAGATAATCTACTAGGCAATCTTATAAATGGAAATTCACCTTACCGAGTATCGATCTCCAACAACCACCAGAAAAAACAATGAATCTGTGAATCAGGAACTCAGATTTAGAAAAAGAAAAATATCTAAGAGTGAAGAATGTTCTTGATATTCAAAGACTACTCAGTACAAAGAAAAGAGGTGCTATATATATCTCTTCCTCTTGTGTTAGTAACTAAATTCTTCTAACAAACTAACTGACAATTGGTTATAACTAACTTTATGATAACTCTAATCTACCCTTATCCCTTTTAACAGCTTTAACATTTTAACTAAACTGTATTGATCATAAATATTTTCTTACCACAAATATCTTTCGATCAAGTATAGTAATTTTCAAACATTCTTCTCTCGAGTGAACCGTAGCAATTAATCAATCTATTCACTTAGCTCGCGTCAAAACTTCATAGCGACACAGAAAAGAAGACAAAGCAACACAACCCTACTCAACGCAGGATGGGATCAACAACAGAAAAGCAGTGCCCCAGTGGTTTAACCAAGAGCATTCAGGCCACCGAGAGTGTACAAGTTGCTCCTCATCAAATACAACTCCTTTCCGATTTACTACCACAGAAACAGAGCAACTGCAGTGTAATTAGAAGATCAATCTGTTGTAAATTTCACACAACAGTACTCTTTCTTTTTGTCTTATAAATTCTGGACAGTAGTTTCATTCACATGACTACTATTTTTTACCAGATATAACATAGTTGCAAATTCCTAAATGATGTTCTATTCATGCTTTGAACTTCTGTTATATATAACTCAGAATTTCATTGTTGTCTTTTATCATATTAATTTGCCTCGACCTAATTCACCATGCCTAACACCTAGATAGGAAGATCCTTTCACCCCAAAATAAATTAGGTCATGCGGAAAAGAAAATAAATTACCATAAAAGCTCTCTAACACTTTAAACTTCATGAAAACAACAAACTTTAATAAAACCTTTCATTAGACCAAAAACACTCCCTAAGGAACTAGTCTAATTAGGTATAAGAACTACTAAATGAGTACAGTTTATACAAGAAAATAGAACACAACTCCCACCAATAAGAGAGGAAAAATGAAAGTTGTTGGAGATCATCATCGTTTTCACCTATGAAGCATCACTGACCCTCCAACCAAACGATGCCAAGTGTCATAGCAAGAACAATATCAATACAAAACACATATACTGTATCTGGTAGACATCATCGATCGATCGAACCTACCACATAATATAAAGTAGACATTCAAAAGAAACATGCAATATGAAAGTTACCCCACCCCAAGTCTCTATCCACATACTTTTACCCTCCCAGGTATAATGCCTATAAACTAATGCACCTCGATCCCATGACTCCCTGTTGTACCACAATAATATCAAGTCCTAGCCTAGCCCTTCTACAACATAGAGATTCACGAATACAAGGCCACCACTAGCCCTATCTGCCAACCTACTACTCTCTCTCAAGTTCTCATGTCAACTCTGGCCCTTTCGAAATAGTACCTGAAACTGGCGCCTTAGATCAACACATCCATCTTGACTAACATCCTTATTATCATGTAAGTTCTAAAAACACTGACAACCATGAACACTTAAGCCATGCACTAGAAGCCTAGCATAGTCCGGACTCCGACTTAATAGTAACCCGCAACATGTTCCACATGGTCAAATGCAAGCCATACCTAAGATGAACTCACCTTTCAGGTAACTCGAACCACTCAAGGATCCAACATACATACATCATATCATACAAGGTTAATCAGGTTCACTCATGGAACCATAAATGCACATACACAGTTCTCTCAAGGAACCCACACCACAATTCATTAGATAAAGAACCCCATATTTGTGTTGAAGTTATAAAACCCAATTCATTAGATAAATAACCCCACAAACAAAAAAAAAACATAAAATATCATCTTTGATGGAATCAAACAAGAACTTGACTTTATGTCTTTACAAAAAAATAAATAGAGAGTTGATGAATAAACTTACAATGTAGTTGATAACTTGTTTGTTTGAGAATGCAAATGAAAGAGGAAAATTCTCAAGTGAAGAAAATTGTATATATAGGAAAATTTTCATGATTGTGGTAATACATTATTTCTTGATGAGTAGGATACAAGAGGATTAGTAGTTTCTATCATTCATTACAACATTTTAAATGATTTAATTTGATGAGTAGGAGTCTAAAAGGATAAATTTTAAATTTTGATTCTTCTAATATTTTTTAAGCATTTAATTTGGTGAGTAGGTGGTGTGAGAGTAAAATTGAAATTTTATTTAATTTAAAGGTGCTTAATAAAATATTATAAATATTAATATCACAATTATTGATATTTCAGGAGCAAAAAACAAATATATTATGTAACAACATAAAGTCAAAATGATCTAAAATATTTGAGTCTTATAAATACTTATTTTACAATGAATTCAAAACCAAAAATATGAAGGTCTAGATTTGAAAGTAAAATCACTTATACAAAAGTTCTAAACTGGAAATGTAATAAATTATTGTACATATAAGGAAAATTAGAATGTGATTCTTAAATTTCATGATTGAAAACAAAAGAAGGGATCCAAAATATTCTAATACCATTAATGGCAAATTACTTATTGTGCACGAGTTCACTCTACCAAACAACATGATAATTGATCACTATAATTATACTCATGATAAAAATATTCTACATCATATTTAAATTAAATTAAATTTAAATACACCCTCTACACTCTTACTCATCAAAGTAAATTAAATAAAATTCTAATTTTACTCTCTTAGCTCCTACTCATCAAATGAATGGTTAAAAAGTATCACAAGGACTTTTAAAATTTTGTTATAAAACTAAAGCAAAATAAGACAAGAAATATAGAAGATGAAAGCAATAGAAATAGGGAGACAAGAGAAAAAAAGTTTTTCTTATTCTTTCAAGTATTCAATTGTTAACCAAATCTTCAAGTGTATCCAATATGAACTCCAATGCCTCCATTTAAGTTATTACATAGAGGCATATAAAATGTTAGTTATAAACATGACATTAACCATGAAAGTTATAGAGACAGTAACCATGTAAGTTATTGTCACATCCCAAGCCTACACCCTGGGCGAGACTGGCACTCGAGAACCATTGCTGGCCCTAAGCGAACCCTTGGCCTGACTTACTTACTTAGCGGAAGACTTAGATATAAGAAAGAGAATCCAAATACAAGATAACTCAACATGTCTCAAACTGAACTCATAATGTTTTAAAAATAAACATTTAACTTAGCCAAAATGGCAACTCAAATATGAACATAAGTTAATAACAAAATGATGACGAATGAACTAACATCTGACTGACTATCTATGAAGCCTCTAAAACAACTGAGATGGATGTCGGGATAGGCCCACGACATCCTAATGAACTAAAATGATAAAGTAATAAAAAGGGGAATCCTCCGAAATGTAAGGAGGCTCACCAACAACTCTGAAGCTTAACTGGATCAACGATGCGCTGGATGCTGATCCTGGTTACCTACGTCTGCATCATAATAAGATGCAAGCCAATTGACATCAATACATTGAATGTACGAGTATGCGAGTTGGCTAAACATAACTTAAGCTTGAAAAAGATCTGAAAGAAACACTTACCTTGGCTTTACTCAACTCCTGAATAACTTAACTCAACTTACTGAACTCATTTCAATATAAAGCAGTTTAAAAACAAGTGCAATATAAAGAACACTGTTTAAAACATGATGTCAACTCTGTCTGTATGCAAAGATACAAATAACTCTGAGATGTATGTAATAATACAATTAAACTAATGTATATAAAAATACAAAATATTGCTGTGGGAGTTTCTCTAACCGACAACCATCACTTAAGAGCTATAGTGATGATACAACGTTTCTTGGCCCCACGCTGCCAGGGCCATCCTATACCTTGCCGGAGGTATAAGACCTGAACTACTAAGTGGATCGACTAGTCTATGCTAAAAAACACTAAGGGTTCATCTAAAAAGTATGACCCTTTTCTACCCATGATGGCTACATGGTTTATGGGGGCTGGGGGTTCTCTGAACGCTCCCCCATATCAGTGCTCAATACTACTCCCAAAATATGATACTAGCTCTTTATGTTTAAAAAATATAACTTCCTGCTGTGGTTTGAGATAATTTCTCAAAACTTAACTCAAAGGCTATCTTGGAAATCAAAGTTTCCTCTCTTGTTTCATTTAGAAAGCGATTACTCTTTTCTGCAAACTAGCTCGAAGGCTCTTTGGAAATCGAGGTTTTCTTTCTTGTTTAATTGTGAAAATATTTTAAACCCTTTGGGAATACATAGTCCCCTAATACTTTTGAAGAAATGAACTTCAATCTTTACTCTTTACTCAACTTGAACTTTAAGTCTTAAAACAAAGTTAAAAGCATTTGCAAAAGACTTCTTGAAAAGACTCTAAGAACTTCCTAGACTTGGCTCTTGACTTTCCTTGAATTTGAATTTATGGATTCAAGGTTATGATTCATGTTTATGGATGATTTCTATATGTTTAGAAGTCATTTAGAGTGGTTAGAATCAATGGAAAGTGTTAGTACACTTTAGAAGGACTTAAATAGGCTAAAAGACGAAAACTGGTGAAAAATGACAATTTGGGCGCATCCCGGGCGCGCCGCGCCAGCCCCAACTTACTGGGGCTCAAATCTGGCACACTGTTGGCGCGCCGTGATGAGTCCACAAATTGGACCCATTTAGGGCTTTATTTTGATAAGAATAGTGTCCTCGAATACTTAATTTGTCTCAATATCTGATGAAAACTCTTAAGTTTAAGGTATTTGAAATTTTATTGAAAGCATGGACACTTAGGCACAAAAAAGAACACAAAGGCTGAAAAGAACGAAGAAGCTGAAGCCTGAGCATCGCTAAGCACACTTAGTGATTCGCAGAAGGGATTCACTCCGCCCTTTGTTCCAGTGCACGAAGCCCTGAA